ATATTTAATCTATATTTTAATAATATAATAATATAATATTTCGAATAAAGCTTTATATAAATGTATAAAATATTTATACAATATTTCAAAAAATAAATAGTAATAAATATTCTGTGCTGTTCTGGAGTTAGCTGGAGAAATGACTTATCGATTGCTCGGCAGGTCATCAGCCTCTTCAGGATATTGAGATAAGAGTGGGCAACAGCAGCGCTGAATTGCAGCGCAATCCTCTGTGCGCTTGGTTTCCTGGTACTATTGGTAAGTACTTTGAAAGAATTACAAACCGTTAGCAAAAGAATGTTCAGAATATTTCTGATGTTTATTATTGTATCTTTTCTTCACATACTAGAAAAATTTTATATTAAATATTGCAAAAATATAAAATTGATAAATTATTTTATGAATATAAAGACAATCTGCTATTTATTTTAAGTTACAGTCTATAATATATTTGAACTTTATTGACAAATTAAGTTCTAATTAATCCCTAAACAACGAAAGCAACTTAATTAAGACATATTGATAAATCAAATATATTGATAAATCAACTCGCAGAGGAGGGTATCACGAAGACCTTCATCTGTGCCAGAGCACTCGTGGGACAGTATGTTTTTTTACAACTAGTCGGTGTTGAGGGTAGCTTGAGCCTCTGCGAAGTGGAAGTTTTCGCTACTGACGGTAAGCTCAGAATTTTCATAAAGTTCAAATTCAAAAAGTTTTCTTCTAATAAATAGTATACGCTCATGCAATGAATTTTGCATTTATTAATTAAGGATATTAATAAATAATTAAGAATTAAAAAAGTCGAAAATCACCAGAAGCATACATTTATCAAAACGGTCGAGAAACGTTATTTATGAAAAATATTCAACAAATGTTCACAGAATTTTCAATAGATAGATGTGCGCATGCTAACACACCTGCCGACGCTGATTTAACTGCCTTCAATTCTACGTGTTACGAATTCATGGTGAAGAAAGGCGGTTCCTTCGAAGAAGCAAGAAATTACTGTAAAGGTCGTGGTGGTGATCTCGTTCACGGTTTCAAGGTTTTTACAATTCATTTTTTTAATTTATTTGCCTCTTTACAAGATTATTTTCTTGTATAGATTCTATTCTATATTAATAAATTTTATAATTCTTAAATATTTTAAATATTTATAAGAAATAAAGGCTCATAACAATCAAAGCAAGATCTTTAATGCTTAAATAATTTCATGTCAATTTGTCTATATATTAATATGTAATTAATAATGTATAACATATATACCTATATATGTACTCTATTTGTAGTTTGTGCGTCGAATTAATTTTTTCGGACTTAAAAACGCAGTTAAATTTTTGTAATAATACCACAATTAAATGTGATGCTCAATATATCTAAGGTATCTATTAAAAAAAATCTTAATATGCAGAAAATCTGTAAATATATTTATTTATTGCGGAAAATATTATCTTAGCCGGGAGTCGAATCTGGATCTCTATTTTCGTGCGTCCTAAGCCTTTTGGTGGTCTAAAGTTTTAGGATGCTCGCACAGACCACATTAAAATCTCTTTAATAGATGCATATAAAATCTCTTTAACAAAGCGTCAATTATGGCAGAGCATCATAATATTACTACAGTTATCTTACTTTAGCTGCATTTCTAACTCCGAAAAAAAATGAATTCGGCACTCAGTTCAAATACAATATATAATATATATGTATGTATGTATAATATGTACAAATTCATATGGGATGATGAAGCATTTAAAAATTTTGCTTCGACCGTTATAAGCCTTCATTTCCTATCAGTTTTCCTATTGTGTTTTCATATGTACGGTCCAATAAGATTCTTATTGTTTATAAGTATGTATATTAACAATATAAAACAATTTGCAAATAAGACAGTCTGTACAACAAGTCTATAAATCCTGCTATTAAAGAAAATAGAGTGCTACATATTTATGTTAAAAATAAACAAAGATCACTAATAGCAATTTTATATAGTATTATATATAGTCAAAAAAATTTATATCGCAGGGAATATCGTCTGTATTCATTCTGAATAACCTAGAAAAGCGGAAGGATAAGTTAAAGACCCAATTAGTCTGGATCGGGGCTCAGAAGGAACCACAGATTACGGCACGAACATGGCGATGGGTGGACGGTAAGTAGTTGAAATTTCGGCGAATTATTCCCATCGTCAACGATTATCCGTGGGAATCAGGCCGGGAGGGCGGAATTAGCTAACCTGGGATGAGATTCGATAACTCGATTGTCGATTCATTATCCGACAATTATTCGACAATTACAAAACAACTACACGACATCGTTATTTCGGGAGAGCAATTTCGTAAATTCGTATTCGAATTTCGCGTTCGATAAAACAACTGTCTCGTTCTGTATTGATGAGCCAATCGAGTATCATATAACCGTCATTTGAACAAATTGTATCGTAAGTAGAATTGAGTAGAATCATTATGAAATTATGCAATCGGAGCATTTTTGATAAATAATACGTGAAAATTTGTATAATCATTAAACATCGAATTTTTATGCAAATATTTTTTGCAGACATACACAAAATATGCAAATTTGTACAAATATGTAAATATGCACGATATGTGCAAATAAATATGCATCTTTATGCTTTCTTAATAAATTTCTATTTTGATATTACTTTCCAATCTGCTTTCCAAAAAAATATGAAATTGCAGATAAGAATCCAATGTCTAATAATCATATCCAATTCGACAGGAAATTACATCTTTTGTGTAGTACATGTCAATTAATAATTAATTATATATGTAAATTATATGTATATATTCTTATGTATCGTTATTAATATGATGCAAAAATGTACATAATTTATATAAATATAATTTATCATTATGCATTACAGATAACGATACAAAAATGCATATATGTATACAGAGCTATAAAGTGGGGCTATTCAATTTAAGCTTTCAAATAATATGAAAATTTGCAGAAAAATGTCTCACATACTCAATTAAATTACAAATATAATGTATTATTGAACTGTGTACTTATATTATTAATTATAAAATTATATTATTAATGTATAATTATTGAACACACATAAACGAAAAAATCTCTATCCTAATTTGCTGTTTCCTCACAAGATATAACACCAAAATAATAACAAAAGATCCAAATATCATATGTATACTGAATTAATATGTACTGATTTAATATCGAAATAAAATTAATCAACTGTATTATAGGCGAGATCGTGCAAAAGCCATCCTGGGGCAAAGACCAACCGAACAACTATAACGGAGAACAAAACTGCGTCGTACTCGATGGAGGTCGTGGATGGCTTTGGAATGACGTCGGCTGTAACCTCGATTACCTTCACTGGATCTGTCAGAGCAGTAAGTGATGTCGAAGAATTTTGTTTATGAACAAGAGAAAAATCCGGTTCGGGTATTCTCGCCAGAAAATTGGCCTTTTCGACTGCGAATTAAAAAAAAAAGAGAAAAACACGAGAATGTCTCATAAAAAAATACGCTTCGTCCATTCACAGGATCACCAACCTGCGGCAGTCCCGAAAAATCGGAAAATACCATAATTATAGGATCCAAGAGAACGATAGGCTCCACGATAGAGTATGTTTGCCCGGATGGATATATGCTAATTGGATCGAAAAATAGAATGTGCGAACCAAGTGGTTCTTGGAGCGGCGACGTACCCACGTGCAAATGTAAGTAACTCAATAGCGCTTCAAAGAAGTCCATCATATTCATTCGATTTCTTATCTGGCGCCGCTTTTATTACACGAAAATATACGTGTACTATATATTTATATTCTATTAATTAATTCTTTTAAACTTTCTTTTAAACTCTTGTTGATCACTATCTAAGGATTATAAACGTAATTAGCGTTGAATATAATTTAATCTTGGATCTATATTTTGTATAAATATCGCTTGATTTTACGATAATTTCATACAATTTCTCAAGATGTATTATTTAATAGTGTCAAATCTATATTATATTTTGTACAAATAATGTAAACTACGTACGTCACGCGTGACTTCAGTCATTTTTTGAATATTTTTGCAGTCGTCGATTGTGGCACGCTGCCGAACTTAGAAAACGGCGCTATCATGCTATTGGACAACAGAACCACGTACGGTGCTTTTGCGGATTATAAGTGTAAAGAAAATTTCACACTGAAGGGTGATATGAGAAGAAGATGTGGCGACGGCGGTATCTGGAGTGGTCACGAACCCCAATGCTTGTGTAAGTATATAATTTACACACATTATCTACTTTCGATATCCTCCGTATATAATTTTTCGAAAGGGATGTTAAATACATTTAACTATTAAAATATTTTTTTAAATATATTCAAGTACAAACATTTTTTAATAAGTTATTCATAAATATGTGCGTGATATTTTAGTAAATTTTATCATAAAAGAGAGGAAGAAAGAAAGAGAAATCCTACTTAATAATTATAAATATAAATAATTATAAATAGTATAATCAAATATTTGTCATTTATTTTTATCTGATGTCTAGATAATTGTTTAAAGTTTATGACAAAAAAGCACGTATCTATCGATAAAGGCGTATTCTGAATACGGATTTATATGTACAAAATCATGTAATTATAAGTTATAAATTATAATTAGAAGAAAATTTCATGTTAACGTGCTTAAATGAAATCGCATTTCTAATCATTACATAACTAATTACAGTCGATTGGTGTTCTGAACCACCGGAAGTGAATGGTAGCATCGTAACAACTAACGGAAAAAGAGCGGGTTCCACTGCTACTTACTCTTGTCAAAATGGATTTATTTTATTTGGAGATAATGTGAGTCCTAATCATTAATTTATAATTGTCATAATGTTATTGCGAAACTTTTTTTCTTAGGAAAAAATTGCTGAATGCGTACCGCGGTTGCCTAAATCGTATCTCAACAGTATTTTATATCATTACTTAATATAAGCAATTACTTTTTATGTTAAAATAAGCATTGCGATTCAATCAGAACTAGCTTGATCACAACGCTTGTGACATACTTGCGACGATGCAATGCGATTAAGTAATGTAGAACCAACTGTTTACATCTGCTGATGGAATGGTCCATCGCAAAATAGTTTGGATAGTCGTCAAAACGAGCATGAGTCAAAATTAATAAAATGCACATAATTTTAAACATTAAGAATAGAGATTAAAATCTTTGATATTAATGTTCGTATAATATTTCTTTTGTTTCTGTATACGAATTAATTAAACAACCAGCTTGGGTTGTAATCTCTTTGGTCTTTTTCGAAAAATTTTTTTTAATTTTTGAGTTTTTCATTATATATTTATTATATATTTATTTAATTTTTAAAAATTTAACAGGTTACATCTTGCCTTATGCGTGCTAATACTTCAAAAAAATCAGGTACATATAATGTTAATTTTTGATCAGTTTAACAAATAGATTAACATAACTAATAATAATGTAATTATGTGGCAGTTTTATTCTGAATTTATTTTCACTAAAATTCATTATAGAATATTTTACATTCACTGTATATGCAATTATTATAAAAATTAAATTGATTTTTATAAAAATAAATCTTTCAAGTTTTCTGAATCGTACTTCCAGAAGATAAGACTGATAATTGATAATAATAAATTCAATAATTGATATGAATACAAAATTTATTACGAAAATAATAAATTCAAGTCAGTTTTATGCTTTTATTGTTCTTATGCTTTTATTATTATTCTTTATCAATTATTAAATACTTGATCTTTTGTTTTAGATTAATAAAATTAAAAATTAGTTAATTATCATTAATATTAGTTAATGATTTTTTATCAATCTGATGTATTTTTAATTATTTTCATTCATAATAAAAATTTGATACTTTCAAAGAAAATACGATTTAGAAAACCTATAGATATGATTTTAATAATTGGTTGTCTAAATTGTCTTTTGCAACATATTACAAAAAGATAATTCATCATAAATTAAATTCTTGTTAATTAAACATGTATAAATATAGATGCCTGAAACATCAAGCTACAATTTCCAATGTTCACTTGCGCACAAATCAGCACCATGGAAAATATAAGAAAAAATTGCTTAAGTAGTACGCATTTGGCAATTCTTTTCTATGTATAATTTATATTAAATTAAATAAGTTATAAATAATGTAATATAATATCTAATATTTTGTTAATTTATAATTGCGATTCTTGGATTGATAATGAAGGTCCTCACGTGCAATGTCGGTGGCGAATGGTCTGGCAAAGCGCCGCAATGTCGATTTGTTGACTGCGGGGCTCCGGCCCAAATCGAGTTTGGAACCATTGTTCTAATTAACGGTACGACCACGGTAAGCAGCTTAGCTGTATACACATGTCAACAGGATTATTGGTTGGTAGGCGAAGGAAAGCAAGAGTGCACCAAAGAGGGCAAGTGGAGTCACGATACACCATCATGCGAGCGTAAGAATCATTTACTAAACATGTTACCTAAAAATTAATTTGCCGAAGAGACTGAGACTCCTTCCTATGCAAAAAATAATTTAACTATTTTCATAAAAATTAACGCTACGATCAATTTACAAACAGGAATAATTTTTTTTTCACACAGAGAACATATATGTTTGTCTTATTATTTATTTATAATTTTACGTAGCAATTAGCTTACTTAAACAAAAATGAATTTATTTTATAACGACAGAAATAATTTTACAAAAAGTACAATTTTAGTGAGAAAACAAAAAAACCTGTTGCCTTCGTTTATTTAGTTCAGCACAATTTTAAGAAGATAAATATCTTTTTGCAGTAATAACATGTGAAGAACCAGAAGTGCCCACCGGAGGATACGTAGTAGGATATGATTTAAACGTTCACAGTGTTATCGAATATCACTGCGACGTGGGCTATTTGCTTCACGGAGAAGCGAGACATTCGTGTGGCAAAGACGGCGAATGGACGGGAGAAGTTCCGATCTGCGAGTGTAAGTCATTTTTCTCATATCTCTTTTCCATCGAAACCGTTCGCAATATATAATATAATCTTGTTGAATTATGAAAGGAGTAACTTAAATCAAGTGTATATGTGTGCGTGTGCGTGTGTGTGTCTTTATTGTCGATAGCCTTCATCCTAAACGAGATCTCCTTCGGAGATAGCTTATTAGCATAAGCAAATAGGAGTATATTATAATTGAATCAGATTTCAAGCAATATTAGCTATTTCATTTCATTACTACACTTAGAAATTAAAAATTATTTAATATTTAACATTTTTTTTTAGATATATTATGTAATTCTGATAAATTAAAATTAGCGCTTTTATCAAAAATTAAAACAGAATATTTCAAATGTTAATAAAAGTCAATTTGAATTTTATACCTTGTAGAATAAGCAATATTTACCCCGAATACAGACTTTTTTAGTGACTTCTACATAGAATATATACTGATATTTAATATACAGGTTGTTTGGTAATTCTCTGAATAATGTTCGTAATGCTTCTGAGCGGACTAAACTGAGTCTTTATCATTACCAGACATCCTATATATTTCCTTGACAATTTAATTTGTGATAATACTTTTCTAAAATTATTGATTGAAATCATTATCGTATAGATATCAACTGTGGCAAGGTTCTTCCAATTTTAAATGGTGCAGTGGACTACGCGAACGATACGACTCATCTTGGCAGCGAAATCACGTATAGTTGTACAAGGAATTACAGACTGAATGGAATTTCGAGGAGATACTGCCTCGATAATGGTCAATGGAGTGACGCTACTCCGAAATGCGAAGGTAATTGCACTTACAATTAGACTAAACAGAGTAGAATTTGGAATTAAGCGATCGAGAAGAATCAATCATAAAAATTTGTATGTACATTTGTATGTACATTTGTATTATATTTTCTATCTTAGAAATTCGTTGCCCGGAGCCCGTATTGGCGGAACATGGAATTCTCTCGGTTACTGGAAATGATCGAATGTACGGAAGAACATTGATTCGCACGGGAACCGCGGAGAATTCGAACACGGGCGCGACTTCATACAAGATTGGGGCCCTGGCGAAGTATAGATGCGAAAGAGGATACAAAGTAGTTGGAGAACCTTTATCTACCTGCGAGGAGAATGGAAAGTGGAGTGGCGAAGTACCACAATGCGTCTGTAAGTATCTCTAAATATCCTATTCATCGAAAAGTCCATTTTAGCTGTTTATATGTTAAATTATATAGTTACAATAATGAATAAATGATAATTGTTGACGACTTATAGAAACTCGTTTTTATTCTTTATAATCAAATAACTGATTGTTTAAAACGGTAATATACTGTGAAATATTATAAATTATACAATATTTGTCACAATCTCGTAATCGAAGAATCAGTTCACGATATTTACATGCGAATAAATGTAAAATATCTAATACAAGCGTTCGTTTCGACAGATGTCGATTGTGGTAAACCCGAACACATTCAACATGGACGTTATACATTGACATCGAATGCAACGTATTATGGAGCAGCTGCACTTTATGAGTGCGATGGCAATTTTGAGTTAGATGGATTTGCTAGAAGATTATGTCTTGAAAATGGCACTTGGAGCAGTGATACCCCCGTTTGTAAAGGTCGGTCGAAGATACTTAATTCTCCAAAAGATTGTGAAAGATATTGTGAAAGATAAATAACGAAATCTTATTATGTTTTGATTTTAAATTAACTTTGATCTTATATTAATGATTTTATTTGAAAATATATTCGCTTAGCGGAATTAAGAGATGGCAATGAGTCGTTAAATTGTATAAAGTATTAATTACAATGTTACAGAAATACGGTGTAGAGATCCGGAGAAAATTGGTGTGCTATCAACGCAAGTGTCGACTCATAGTGTAGGTGGTGTAGCACATTATAGTTGTCCACGTGGGTTTTATATGGAGGGAAACGAAACTAGAATCTGTTTGCAAAGTGGATCTTGGAGTGGAACAACGCCTGCTTGTTTTTGTATGGAATGTCTCAATTAATTATTTTTATTTTCAATATATGTATATAAAGTTACAATGTGTACTGCCAGAAATAAATTACAACATCAAGAAGAAAATATCATTTTAATATGAAAATCTATAAATATGTTAGGGAGAACGATGTGAATAAATGATTAAGATTTTTTAAAAAAGATTTATTGCACAATTTGTTGAAAAATATTAAATTTTATGATACTCTAATAATCTTAATATTTTATACAATCTAATATTTTATAAATCAAAACTGAAAACTTGATGTTACTTTGCATTTGATATTACGAATTTCCTAAAACTTTTTATGTCATAATCAAATTATTTTTATAAATTCTGTCCCCCCATACTGGATCCATTATTTTGAATTTTCATTTTTAATCTCAGATTCGAATAAAGCATTATCAAATTACCCCATAGACCAAGTTTCATAAAAATCAAAGTAATTTACTAAATAAAAGGGGAGAAACAGAACTGTCCATCCACAAAGATTTAAAAGTTCATACTAAACATAAATTTCTGAAATTTTAATCGTTTATTTATATTGTTCCATGAATGATAATAGAATTTCGTTCTTAATCGAATATCTATTTTTTGGTGTTGCAATTTTAATTTCTGGCAGCGTATTTATTAAAATTTAATAAGAAATATTTAGTAAAAAATATTAATAATCTTCATCATAATCAAAATTCCCATTATATGAATATAATTTCGTTATATGAAAGAATAAAAAATATTTTGTGAATAAATTTTGAAGATATTAAATTTTATATCAATCATTATAAATAATTTTATATACATATAATAATAAATTAATAAATATATAACTAAGTATTATGATGAATCAGAAGAATTTAAAATTCATTCGCAATATCTTTTTAGCGATTGATTGTAAGCATCCAGGACCGATAGAAAACGGTAGAGTGATAGTAGTGAATGGATCGACGACTTACGGAGGAGCCGCGGAGTATCACTGCCTACCACAGTACGAAAGGAATGGCATATTTCTAAGAAAATGTTTGGACACAGGATATTGGAGCAGCGAGGAACCAAAATGCGAATGTAAATAAAAGATACCAATATCATATCTTTGAAATGTGTATCTAAATAATATCGCTTTTGAGATATGATATTTTTATACTATGATAAATCTTCAAATTTTATCGGCTAATTTCCAAAGTTTTTTAAAACTAAGTATTAAAAAAAATCTTTCATCAAAAACCTATTGGCAGATTACTCAAAATAAACTTATTAACGTTACGAATTGTTTATTTTACCCGTCGAAGAAATAAATACGATGAAAAATTTGAATCAGTTACATGATTGTTGTTTCGCAGTAGCCACGAATGAGATAGCAGAACCTCAAGGTGTAGGCACGAGCGTTGGTATCGGAGCTGGTGTCATTATCTTTATATTGATTATCCTCGGATTAATTTATCTTAGGCTGTGAGTACTGTTTCTCGAGATAATATGTACATTTTGTTCAAAACATTTACAAATTATATTCGTAGGCGAAAAGCTACGCCAGTCAAAAACACCGAAAATGTTCAAGCTGCGGAACGAAAAGAGGATCAAAACGCCGCTGTAATGTCTTACGCGACATTGAATGACGGCACGCATAATACCATGTACGAGAACGTCCCCGAGGATGGTCTCTATGATAATCCGTACAGTCTAGGTGGCAACGCATACAGGTAAATAACTGTGTAAAACAATTTAAAGAGACGCATCAATTCGATTCGTACACTGTAGAAAAGTATGTAAAATTACATGAAGAATAGGTGTAAAAAATAATATATGGAAATATATAAAATTATTTTTTTTTTAAATTAATACTTTTATTTCTAATTGTGTAATATTGTCCGGAAAGTTCGTGCTGCAAAAGATTTAAATTTAATAAATGAAATTAAAAATTTAAATCTTCTGCGTTTCAATTTTCCTTCAAAATCGGCACGACCCAATTCCGGACAATCCAATAAATAAATTTTTATGTTTGACAGAAAATTACACAATAATAATAATTTTATAATTTCTATGTAAATGTATAAATTTTTGTGATATCATATAACATAATGATAATATATAATAATATTTATATACATTTTTTTTATACATATCAAAAAATAACTTAAGAAAAATTTTATGAAATTCGTTAGCGAATTAAAATGTAAAGATTTCTATAAATTTAACTTTCATTGTAAATTTACTTTCGCCAATTGTTTAATTACTATAAAAAAAACAATATTATTTGTAAGTTATGACTTTACGCATTTATAAAGATATATTTTTAATAATGGATCCTAAAATTATCCATTATAATTGTTGTAATTTTACATGTAATTTTTTTACAGTATAAAATGCAATTATCCCATATTTGTTCGAATCTGTCACGTTAAATAACAACCTCATGAAATCAACTAATATTAATCCTTTGAGGATCGGAGCTTTCTAATAAAGTAACTTAATAAAAATCTTCCTTTCTAAAGAGAATTGAATTCGATTCTGATTTCAGAATTCTAAAATTTAAATTGCAAAAAAATAATCGGATTATGCAACTCGGTTTTAGAAGATTCTTAATATTTCTGAATGATTTGAATACAGCCTAAATATAGAATATAGAATAAAAATATCGAATTTTAAAAAGACAGTAATCTCTATGAAGAAGGCTCTGTCACAATGTTCAAAATCAGAGTTTGAAAGTCAGTTTGGAAATTAATATCTATTAACTATTTACATAACATTACATTGAAGAGCTTCAAAGCAAAATTGGAAACTTGATGTTACTTCGAAATTAAAAACTTTCTAAAATCGAGTATTATAGTCAAATTACTTTTTCGAAATTCCGTTCATATTAAAGCTACTTTTTTGAATTTTTGAATTTTTACCTCAATTCGAATAAAGTTTTCCTTCTTATCAAATTATCCTATAGGCCAAATTTTATAAAAATTAATGATGAATGGAATTTATGAAATAAAAGTGCGACTCCAAACGAACTCGGTAATATATTCGGTATATAACATAAAGAGATAATTACTTAAAGCTATCTTAAAATATATAGACAGTGAATGGAAAATTTATTAAGGTGTATAATTTATTAAGATGTATACACACAAAAAAACGGCTATGGTTGCCACGATTAAAAGTCGTCCGTCAATTTTTTACTTACAAAAACTGCAATACGATTGTGATAACATATATTAACGATTATAATTTTAAAGAAGAATTCATCTACTTTACGGTTATGACAACCAGATATATTGATAGGCGAAAATCATTACTTCCAGTTGTGGCAGCCGTAACATTTTTTTCTGTGCGCGAAATTTATTTTCTAATTATTAAATAAATAAAATAAAAGATAAATAAGATTGATATCGTGTTATAAATTGATATGTATTCGTAACAGATACGGCGGTCATTCAAGAAGAATGTATGGCAGATCCGGACATTATGAGGCCGAACCAGTTTCCAACAGAAACGGAATCACTATCAACGGAGTGTCTGTGCGATAGCTCGTAATTCTATCACCACGGCTTTATCTTTCTCGATGTCGAGAATCGCATGCAGAAAACTGCCGATCTTTGGCGCACTTCCGCCGTTCTCGAGACGTGTACAGAAAACACCGAAGAATTTATCATTATTTATATAACGCCTGCTAAAGGCGCAATAATTTATGTAAATAATTCATGAAAACGAGAGAAGGAGAAATGTGTGGAAAGAATTACACACCGACGAGATTTTTTTTCTCTGAGGATCAACTGTTTTGTATGATTCTGTATATACGGTGTATCAATCATTTAGGTTTATTATACGTAGGCTCTAAGTAACATGTTGTAGCGTAAGTTTACATTGTGCGAATAAAGAAATCAATGATCTTGTTATAAGTTCACACTTTGTCACACATTATCTCGCTTAATATCCTCTTCAAATTTAATTTTCTAAAATTTTTCTATTTTCTAACACTAATCTTTAAAAATTTGGATAAGAGTCACCAGAAAATCAAGCATATCTAACTAAATTTATCCGAATACACGATATCAATCAGTTTTAACTTGTTTATTTTAAGGAAACGAATGTATGCAATGCTATACATACATGTGTCCATATATTGTTAATAAATTCATGCATATATGTATTCAGATATGTACATAACATACTAATAAAATTAGCATACATCCGTTACCTTAATAAAAATGTTGGTTCATCACTCACCGACCCGATGCGCAACAGTGGAGTTACATCTGCAACGATGATTCTGTAACAAATAAATTAAAATCTAAATTAAAACAGAGTAAAGAAATAATCACTACTTAAAAAAATAATTGCTATATGAACGCATGCAGTTTGCTGAAAAATAATCATGAAAATAAAATTGTTGTCAGCATCAAACTTTGTACCCATTGCTTAATTAGATATAAAATAATTATATATTCTCTCAAACAATTATATGTATTCTTTAAAGAAGATCTTAGCAAAAATAAATTTGTATAAAATTTTAAAGTAATTTTTTTTTGTACAAAATTTCAAAGTAATTATTGGGTTGTCCGGAAAGTTCGTGCCGATGTTGAAGAAAAATTGAAACGCAGAAAATTTAAATTTTAATATACATTTATTAAATTATATATTATAGGTTAATCGGCATAAACTTTCCGGACCAATAGTAACGGAAATGTAGTAGTTTCCTTATAACTCTCGAAATAATAAAATAGTGAATGAAGACAAATAAGAGTATAACAATTGCAATTGTTGTAGCGTAATTAAATAATACTGCACTGAATAACAATATTATTTAATTACGCTACAATAATTGCGTTATAATCTTATTTGCTTTCATTCACTATTTCAAACTAATTATTAAGTAACTCTCCTTTTGTCTAATTTTAACAAGTTGAAAATTACTTAAAAATTTTATACAAATTTATTTTTGCTAAGATCATCTTTAGAGAATATAATTATTTCAGAGAATATGTATGATTATTTTATCTAAATTTTAAGTACCTTTTCTTTTATCTAATGTAGATAAAAAGAGAGTTACTTAAAAATCACTTAAAAATTTTATACAAATTTATTTTGCTAAGATTTTCTTTAGAGAATACATATATAATTATTTTAGAGAATATCTATAATTACTTTAGACAGTATATAATTATTTTATATAATATATAATTATAGAATATATAATTATTAAAATATATAATTATATATAATATATAATTATATATAATTATA